GCTAGGTGAGCACTCTACCACTGAGCCACAACTCCAGGCCCTCTGGAAATTTTTTATGATAAAATTATTTTAAATTTTACTGTTAAGTCATTCATTAGGACAATAGTTATGTGATATCCGTATGTTCTCATTCTCTTTCTCATTTTCCCCCCTCCTTAGGCTTCTCCTCAACAAAGTTCTTTCCTCTCTGTGAATCCTAAAGGGGTCTCTCTGTTACTATTGAAATAACTACAAAAGATAATAATTCTTGAGCACCTATCATAATAAGAATATCATTATCTGATCCTGGATACTGAATTTTGAGGGTCCCAAAGCAGCTCATATCTTGCCAAGTTTATATTTTACAAAAATGAGGTCAACAAGAACATACTGTTCTGCATTCTTCTGTATTTTACTTAATAAGTTCCTATGACCTTTAAATTTAAATAAATCTTTTTATTTTAAAAAAGTTGAAATCTCTCATTATCCATGAATGAGTTATTAAGAAATAACAGTTAAGATTTCTGAAGCAATCTAGATTGCTTTCCAGAACAAAAGTTAATTCTTCCAAACGGTAAGAGAGATGATAATGAGAAATAAAAGAATTATCACCCCACCATCAGACAGTCGACAATAGAATTCTTTCCCTTTGGTCCTTGTCTGTTTTGCTGTATTCTAAAAAATGGGGGTCTGGCCCATGTGGCAATGGAATGTCATTTCTGTTAATGGCAGGTTGAAGGGAAACAGCTGGAGTCACTTTGCCATTGGGGTTGGCACAGTTCTGTGCATGAGGTTTGAGTCTGAAGAGGATAAAGCCTTGTCAAGAATCAGGGTGTCCTTGTCCTATGAGAAACTGATTTTGCTCAAGAATGTCGCTTTAGATTTCACATGAAGAATTTCTACAGAAATAGATGACATAATTTGGGATCCAAGATGCCACTTTTAAGTAGGCTTACAACTCTTATCCTTTTGACTTTAAAAGAGAAAAAAACAAGAACACTCACAAAAACTGGTACTGGAAATATATATGACTGTGAAACAGGAGAGTACAACATCCAAAAAGCAAACTTTACACATACAAAGGTGTTAAAGGAAAAGGGTGAGGCTGTATTGTGCAAATATTTGACATCAAAGTGGAAAGAGAAAGTGAAAAGTTGATAAGAGTAAGTTAATCTGATTAAACTGTTTTCCTCTCTTAGAGTGAAAGTTCTAAGCATCAAAGTAGAAGATCCTAGGATGGAGTGTGGGGTTAGACCTTAGACTCAAACTGCAAGTTGCAACTGTACAATTAGCAATGTGAATACTGAGATGGAGACAAGCAAATGTGGGTAGGTGAAAGGAAGAGGGAAGGACAGAACCTTCCGAAGAAGGGTCACATTATAGGAACTGCAGAGACCCAGGGTACATCTTGTAATGACCCTGTTTGAGAGCTATGGAAATGGCTGCCAACTGTTCCTGTCAGGACTACTTGAGGCACCATGACCCAGAAAGTCCAAATGGTACCAAAGGCTTAAGTAGCTCTATCACTTCTAACCATACAAATCCATACTCCCAGAAGGAAGGAGATCAATTGTAATGCCTATGTTAGGAGGTGACTTTGAGACAACTCCAGACACAAAAATATGCTACTCTTTAACAGTGTTTGTGTCTGGGTACAGAATTTGAGGTGATGGTTCTTTTTGTCTCTTTTAAAAGTACATTTAACTTCTATAATGAAAAATATTTTGAAAGTCTATACTATATCAGATGGAAGGAATAAAAGTAATCTGGTTCTTTCAATAGGCTAAAGATCAGGACTGGGGTTATAGCTCGGTTGGTAGAGTGTTTGCCTCATATGCATAAGACCCTGGGTTCAATCCCCACCACCACCAAAAAACAAAACAAAACAAAAAAACAAAATTGAAGATCAGTTCAGTTCATAGTGACATCTTATAAAATAGTCAAAGGTTGCTGCAAATATTCAAAAGGTCATTGCCAAGGGTCAATGAAGAGATTTTTAAAAAAACTGCTTAATTATTTAAAACTGGAAACAGGTCTCAAAATGATTGTGTAATTCCAAAGTGACATCTGATTATGAGCAAAGGACTTTTAAAATCTTATTCTGTTTAACAGCAATTGAGATGATAAAAAAGTATATGTTTTTATTATGTACTTCATATGTTATTTTGAGTTTTTTTTTTTTTAATTTTTAATTTTGAGATAGGATCTCACTAAACTGCTTATGGCCTCTTGCTAAATTGCTGAGGCTGGCTTTGAACTTGTGCTCCTCCTGTCTTAGCTTATGAGCCACTGGGATTATAAGCGTGCACCACCATGTCCAGCTATTTTGAGGTTCTTTAATGATAGAAAATTTGTATTTTCATTGAAATGTGGCCTGAACTGTCACCCAGGTGATTAGGGTTTCAAAAATGCCAAAATGGGTGACAACAGGGCTATGGGCAAAAAGTGTGCTTCTTGGTCATTTTCTAGTTTAGGAAGTTCCCTGGGAAGATTAGGAATCCCCTACTGTATATATATGTGTGTGTTACAAGACTCATTTGTCCCTCGTAATTTGCTTGAACAAAAATTAAAATGCATTTCTATTCTCCAGGCATTTTTCATTCACTTCATAACAATATAAATTATCTGTTTATTTACATCATGATGTTAAATTGAGGTATAGTTGTTCTTTAACTTTTATTACAAAGCTCCTATTCTATTATTATTATTATTATTATTATTATTATTATTATTATTTAAAAGCATTTAAAGCAGTAAGATTGGTATTAGCCTAGAAACCAAAGGAAGGAGGGAGGGAGGGACTTTATAGAAGTCCCACTGCACTCAAATAAGTGCAATTTGGTTTTCAGTTTTTATGTTTAAGAAACCCAGAAGTGTGCATTTCTTCATAGTTGATCCTTAAAAATAAAAGTCCATTTGTACAAGCTACTCATAACCTTAACATCCTTCCTCTGAGCCCCAGTCACCTTATCTACAAGAAGAGTTTGGACTCCATTACTGTATTCTGTGAATCTTAACACAAGCTAATAAAGCAACCTATCTTTGCAATTTCTTCATATATGTATTGTAACAATTCACAGTTATTTATTCTGGTGGCTTATTTCAAATGGCATTTTCTCCGTTGGAGAAGCAATTCAAAGTCATTCTGAGCTCAGTTAAACTCATTGCTGTATAGGGCTGTGATTACTTCCATGTCCTAATTAAAGGGTCAAATCTCTGTCTTACATCTTATTTGAAAAGTCACAAGCAATAAGGAGCTGTATTATATTATGAGTGATGAGCACTGTTTGATTTTTGCCATCCAGTACTGTATATAATATTTATTATCTGTGAATTGCCTTTATGACATAGACATCCTTTCTGTAGCAGGTCATGGAGAGGGATTATTAAATAAAAAGATTACATGCTTTGTCGTTGAGAGAAGGTTTCATCTGAAACAGAAACCTGACAAACATACCATGTGCCCGTTACTATAGAAGCAAAGAGACCTTTCCAGCTGTTTACACTTTGGATGTAAAATGGCAATTTAACATAGACTAACAGTGTGATGTGAGCATCTGCGTAAAAAGGCTACATATGGAGCATGCCCAGTGCGGGTAGTACGTCCTCCTCCCTCCCCCTCCCTCCCCTCCAGATCTCTAAAGATAAGGCTTGAACTTTGCACTTGCAAATGTCACTGCATACGTTTTTTTGCACTAGGTGTTTTTTTTTTTTTAAAGGTCCTCTTACAACTAATTTCCTTCAACAATCCAAGAGCAGGGGACCAGGGGAGCAGGGAAGAGAATATTTAGGGTAATAAGATGCATTAAGTTTAGAACCGAGTTGATGATGCGGGGCTTTGCACTTGAAGGTTTTTTTTTTATTTTTAAAAGACATATAAAGAATTCGAGTGTGTGCTGATACTCTTGGAAGGGGAAAAATAAGAATCTCCTTGGATGGGAGTCTTCTGGGACAGGGAGTGAAAACCCTGGCAGAAGGGGACGGAGCAGAGGGGCTGCCTAGAGCATGGATAGGAAGGGAGCTGGGATTCTCCCGGGCTCAGCGTGCACTGAGAATCTGTGCCCCGGGCTGCAGCTGCGGACGTTAAAGGCGCTGTCTGGCTAATGAAGGCCACCTGGATCAGGCTTCTGAAAAGAGCCAAGGGAGGAAGGCTGAAGAATTCTGATATCTGTGTAAGCTCAAGGGCTTTCCTTTGGGGGAGACGTTGATTTCTTGGCTTTTCTGTATTGCAGTGAGTGCAGGCAGAGAGGGTGGTTGGATTTAGTTAATATGCTCAAGACTGCAAGAGAGGGAGCTAGGGAGATTCCTATCATTTTTTGAGCTCCTTTTCCTACGTTGTGATTTATTGCCAGAGGAGATATTCCAGGCAGGTGTTTTCTGTAGACAGCTCTTATTAAATATCTCTGTAAAGGTGTTTTAAAATATGTTCCTGAAAGAGGGAAAGTAGCTGCTAGTGTCTTATTACAGTTTTGCCGGAGAAGGTAGCAGGTGTATTAAAAGGTATAAAATGATTCTTAATTATAATGGGAGTCACATCCTGGCAGTGACATTTTTTTTTTTTTTGGGGGGGGGGGGGGGTTAAAATTCATACCTCATTAGATTTTATTTATTTATTTATTTTAATTTTTGGTTAGGCTTAATGTCTTTCTACAAAAGTGCATACTTGCTTTAGCATGTAGATTGTTCTTGAAGCTATCCTTGAAACCCATCAGTGCCCTTCAGCTCTGCACTGCACCACCCAGCTGGTTTTATTATAAAGGAACTTGTTTTGGTTTCCAGAATAGTTTTTGGAATATGACGCTTGGGAAGGAATGGTAACTTGGTGGACACAAGTAACCTAGTGAAGGGTCTGCATTGCAAAGTATGTTTTTCCAGATTGGGTTGCTGTAAAATGGATTATTTTTTCATCTTTTCAGGAATTTATAGCACAATCGAGGAAGCAAACCGCCACGTCAGTGAGACTTTCCCAATGCAAACATCATGCCTTGAATCTATTTTAATATATACATTTTCCTCTCCAGGGTTCGGCAGACTCCTACACCAGCCGTCCATCCGATTCAGATGTGTCTCTGGAGGAGGACCGGGAGGCAGTGCGCAGAGAAGCTGAACGACAGGCCCAGGCACAGTTGGAAAAAGCAAAGGTAAAACCATTTCTTCCTTGCCAAGGCCTTTCTTTGCAAGTTGGGCTGTGCCTGTGATGAACCACCTGTGGAAATTTCTCTTTAAAGAGTATTACATTGTCTGATTTTAAAAGGATAAAATTAATGGAGCGTTTTTTTCCCTTTGATAGAAGGAAGTTTGATATGTAAGACTGGTCTTCACTTTTGTTCTATAATCTGAGCAACCTGTTTCTATCAGTGGGTGGTTTATTTACACACACACAAAAGGATCTCTAAATATACCAAGAGGGAAAATGGTATCTAACATCCAAATATTTTACTTCATTTTCCCAGACCATATCTATGTTGGGGTGGGGGGGGGAACATTCTTTAAGCTAATATTTATTTTCTTGGTCTTGAGCAATCTTTCCCTGAAATTTCACTCTGCGTTTTATAATGACATATTTTTAAAAATGCATTATATTTTGCTTTTGAAAAATGAAGCAAAAGGTGTCATTGGTTACAGAAGATCCTCCCCTTGAGGGATCCCACACTCTTCTTCATTCCATTATACTACTCTATGCCTATAAAGGAGGGAAACTGGAAATCAGATGAAATATAGAATTTATTCCAGTCTGAATTTTATTTCACTATGAAATTGTGATTTGGATTCTTTTTTCCCATAGAGTTGTTTGAACAGTAGCTATTGTCCATGTTTAAGGCATGTTTGTTTGACCCTTGGTATCTGAGTGAACGTATTGTAAACCAGTTGGTTTTCTTTTGCAAAAAATGACTGGTTTTGAAAAAGAGGAAGTATTGTGTTGATCGTGCTGGAAAAATCAGGGTAGCATTACAGCACTTGTTCTCACCACTTCTTCTCTCAGATGAGTAGAACCAGTGTGTGTTGCTATGGGAATCGTGGCTTGGAGATTTGGTTTGAATGCATGGGCAGTCCTTATGTAATATTCATGACCTCTTGCTCAGCTGCCATCGTAGTATCCTAAGGAGCCGCCAGGAGACCTTGACTTCTTAAAAGCAGTATTTCTGTATATCATGACAAAGTTCTCACCTAAGCTGGCAGTGAATGTGAGACAGCTCATATGCATGAGGAGCCAGGAGGGCTTTGTGACCCTGGGAGCTGGTGGAGCAAGGAGTAGCCAGCTCAGTTGCCATCAACGAATCTGCTCTGCCAAAATCGGCCATTTGAAATGCTGTGCAGTTGAAATTAGATAATAGTTAAATAATGAATGTTTGGTAAAGTTAATTGCTGCAGGTTTTCTGGTAGTTAATATGCCACGACTGAGAATTCATATTCGACATTCTATATTCTGCACCTGAGTGTCAGGAAGTCAAGGAAAAGAAATAACAGTTTGTATTCCAGAAATAAGATTGTTCTATTTGCAGCTAATTTATTCGTGAAATTTTCACATACCATTTTCTCAGATTCATATCACGTCATCATATATCCCAATGTAGTATGAAGTTGGTTTTCAAAATCTTTATCTGATTGGGGGACTTTTGTAGATGGCTGTAAAATCTTAAGTTATGAATTAAGTGACACAGCTGCAGAGAACTTTTAAATCTTTCAACCTAACTGGATCAAAATGTTGATCTTAATAAAAACCAGGTCCATATGGCTTATCATTACTGTCTAAAAAGTTTACAGTTGCACATGATGTAGAAAACAGAAGAAAAAGAGAAATCAAACACGGACACAATAATTGAAGGGCCATTTCTTATATTGAATGAAAATAGTTTATTTACATGAATTTTTCTTTAAAAAGGGGTCAGCATCTTAAACCTTTGTTGTATTCAAATTATTTATTCCAGGGAGAGTACATAAATGTGTTCTGAAAGACTAAAAAAGAACTAGGAAGTAAGTTTACGTTAAAATCATGGTTTTGTAGGTCTGACTTCTTCTAATATCCTTGAGGAAAAAAATGGAAACGAGAAACTGTACATGTCAAGTTCTTCCTTAGGTTATTTTTTTAAAATAACCTTTGTGGGACCTTTTTTAAAGTTTAAAAAATATGAATTCTTTCATTCTGGAAGAATCAAATGTTTTCTCCATCTATTATGTAATAGTCCCTCAGACAGAAAGACTTTATAAGTTGGTGTTTTCACTCGTCCTACAAATGACATGTAATAAGTAGATGCAAAGGAATAGACCTCAGCTATGCTTCCAGATCCTGGTCCTAAATAAAGATGAACTCCATTACCCATTAATTGCCTTAATAGTACTGTTCTGAGGTAAGGTAATTGGCAAGTAGAGACACTGCCTTTTGAAATTAAGTGACCTAAAAAAGGTTACATAAGGAGGCACTCTATGCTGCTAATAAAACCATGTACTCCTCACTATGCTTTGTTATGGCTTCTCCTAAACTCTATGGGGAACAGATTTTATGTTTAATTTTAAGGCAAGTAAATATCAACTGACATGACTTTTTTTTTTTTTTTAAGTTGGTATTTTCTGATCCCAAATATATGTTTTGATCTTGTCCAGGTTTGGCGTACTTTGCAAACCCTGCCTTGTTTAAGTTGATGGTCTTTGATATTGCTTTAAAGATTAGTAATATATGAATTTATTTTCTCATTGAGCCTTTCTTTAAAAGCAAATTTGTTGAGCTATAACTCCCTCATTTAAAGTATATATGAGTCAGTGGTTTCTAGAATATTCAGAGTTGAAATATTTTTCGGGGAGACAATGAAAATTTTCTCAAATTGATTTAGGAATTGATATAGAAATGCCCACTAGCAGTAACTAACTCCCCATCATTTCCAAATCCCCTTAGCCCTAGGAAACTACTATTCAACTTTGTCTCTTGATTGTTCTATTTTGAATATTGCATATAAAATGACTCATGTTAGAGTGGTTGGGACGGGCTGCTTTCACTTATATACTGTTTTAATGTTCATACTACAGCATGTATTATCCTTCATTATTTTTATTGCCAAGTTATACTCTATTGAGCATATTTTCCAAATTTTACTTAAACATTTATCAATTGGAAGACACCCGGGCTTTTCTACTTTCTAGGTTCTATGACTAATGCAGTTATGAACATTTTTTTTTTCAAGTTTTTCATGGGCATTTGTTTTCATTTTGCATATATATACACCTAAGAGCAAAATTGCTGGGTCATATGATTTTCTTCTTTTTAATTTAAAGACCATTTTTTTCTTTATTCCTTTCTCAAAAAATCATCCTTTCTCCCCTATATGCAGAGACTGAGTTGGCAAATATGGATGTGGTAAGGACTGGAGAAGAAATATAATAGGTTCAGTGTGATATTTTATAGGAGAATCGATCAACAATAAATTCTGAGTCATTGTTATTGTCATTGAATGTCTACTACAGTAATCCATGGTGTCCATCATCCTATATACAGGACTCCTATAAAAACTTAGAAAGTTTTATAGAACACCTATAAAATATTTTCATAGGTGTTTCATACATAGAGGGTGATAGGACATAATGGATTTCATAGACATTGTGGGCACAGTTGGTGTGTAAGAGGGACCGTCAGACCAGAGCCACAGAGGAGAAATGGACAGGTCTTAAGCCAGCAGGAAGCTTCTGTTATTTAGGGAGAAAAGTCATGGTTCATAAAAAGCAAAGTCAAAGTTCTTTGTGGGGTTAGAGAGGTCAGTGAGCATCCAGAAGAAAGGACTGTACCTCGCTCACTGGAACAGGACATCCTTCCTGGTGGAGCTCATGGCTTAAAATCAGACTTTACAGGATGGATATGTGAAGGTCAGCTCCTGAAGTAGAAAGCAGGAGGTGTGGAGTAGAGCTAGGCCATCGGGATGGAACGCACCGAGAGAACAGTAAAAGCTTGGCAGCAAGAAAGCATGGAACCTTCCAGAAAAAAAAAAAAAAAGTTAACTTTTTTGAGATCTTACCACACCTAGAAATATCTTTATTCTATCCTCAATTAATAGTTTGGGTATATTATTCAGGGGAAAAAAGTGTTTCCTATCAGTTTGGTTAAGATGTCTCTTTGTGGTCTTCTGCCTTCCAGCTCTGGTGTTACGATTGCTCTTCTGACTTTGAGTACCATTTTGGTTTTTTGTAATTCTAATATTTCGAGAACTGTTCTTTCTTGGGTATTTTGATGTTTTCGTAGGATGTGTCTCCGTGCGGCTCTTTGCTTCTCGCGCTTGGTGTCTCTTGGTTGTGAAGGGCCAGTCACTTTGGTTCTAGAAATCCATCTTTCTATGATAATCTCTTCCCCTGTATTTTCCTCTTTTTCTGGTTCTCTGGTTGGTCACATGTTTGATGAGAGTGTTCTTTGTAATCTTCTTTCTCCCTTTTGGTTCTGAGTTTTTCCCCAACTGATCTTCTCGCCCATCTACTGAATTTAAATTTTTATCAAAATGTCTAATTTCTAAGGGCGAAATATGTTACAAAAAAATACTTGCTGATTTTCAGCAGCGTGTATCTGTTTATTGCTCAAATATACATTAGCTTAGACTGAACTTTCTTACAGGAAATTAAAAATGTAGGGAAGCCCTCAAGGCCTGATTAGGCTTCTCGGTTCATTCATGCTTATGGCTGGGTAGGTAGAGTCCAGTTCCAAAGGCTGCCTTTGTTCCAGTCCCCTCCAGTGTGAGTTGATAATAATAGACAACAATAACATTCAATGCCCAATTACTGCCCATTGTAAACTATTTGAAGGAAATTTTTTTTAAAAAAGCGAAGCTCTGTCTTTGTGGAATTTTGAAATGCTGTTGGGCAGTATGATTATTGATCCTTTTACTATCACCGTTCTCATTCATTTTCTTAGAAAAATTTTCTCATTTTTCCTGTAGAACAAACCAGTGTTCGCTTGGTGGCTGAAAGCTGACTATAGTTCTTTCCCGGGCAACGTTGGCTAGCTGATAGGTGAGCTATGACTAGGTGACCTGAGATGGCTTGTCACATGTGTCTGAGGGTTGGTGGCTGTCATCTTCAGGGAGTTGTGCTCTTCTCTTTGAGATCTTTTATCTTCCAACAGACTGGGTGGGGCTTGTTCACCTGTGGGCTCAGGGTGGCCCTAAAA